TTTAGATTTGATAAAACCTTTAGATATTTTGAATGGTTGTAGGGATTTCATAGTGATTTTTCCTTACTATTATAATAAAGATTGACAGTTAAAAGATTAATTTTATTATATATTATACTCCAATTAAAATACAAAATTCCAAAATTCCAAAAGTAAAATAAAATAAAATTTGGGTTAATTATTTTTTAATTTGAACAGTCAATGAAAGGATACAAAATATTTTAATGAAACTGATTGAATTAAAATAAATGAAAATTATAAGAAGCGACGTCAATTTTCCACACACACACACACACACACATATATAGCACATACAAACAAAACGCACTTTAAGTTTAGTGGTGGCATGAATTTTGACTGAATCAATTATATCTTTGTTGTATTGTAGCTGTGATTGTTACCATATTAACAGCTAACCCATCCTTCCGTGTACCGCCAATAATCTCTATCCTCGTCGGCACAAGTAAGATTTAGAATCTGGTTAAGAAATCATACAACAATTTGACCAATTTTTTAATTTAAGAGATTGCAATAATTTTATAGACTGAATCATTTGTCTTGTACCTTAATCTGCAGCTGCAGCAAGTACCATAATAATAGTTATCAGTTGGGTTCTTATTAAAAAATATAAGCACCAAAGGAGAAATAATCCTGCACAAGTTGCAGATGAAGGAGATAGTGCAATAAACACACAGTTTCTAACATATAGGGTGGATAGATTTCTGAATGATATTGAAAAAGAGAAGCCAATCAGGTTCAGCTCAAAACATCTCATGCTTGCAACTAACAACTACAACAACATTCTGGGATCAGGAGGATTTGGAGCAGTTTATAAAGGAGCTCTTAATGATGGAACCATTGTGGCAGTGAAAGTTCTGCATGCCATTTCAAACAAGAGAATAGAGGAACAGTTCATGGCAGAAGTGGGTACAATTGGAAGAGTTCATCATTTCAATCTAGTTCGTCTCTTTGGATTTTGCTTTGAAAAGAATATGAGGGCTCTGGTTTATGAGTACATGAGTAATGGCTCTCTTGACAAGTATTTGCTTGGCGAAAAAAGTCTCTTAGCATTTGAAAAGCTCCATGAGATTGCAGTTGGAACAGCTAAAGGTATTGCTTACTTGCATGAAGAATGCCAACAAAGAATCATCCATTATGACATAAAGCCAGAAAACATCCTATTAGATCAAAATTTCTGTCCTAAGGTTGCTGATTTTGGTTTAGCCAAGCTTTATAACAGGGAAAAATCTCACATTACAGTGACAGGATTGAGAGGGACACCTGGTTATGCTGCACCAGAGCTTTGGATGCCATTTCCTATAACCCACAAATGCGATATTTATAGTTTTGGAATGCTGTTATTTGAAATCATAGGTAGGAGAAGGAATGTTGATAAGAAAGTCACAGAGAGTGAACAATGGTTTCCAAAACTAGTTTGGATAAACTTTGAGTGTGGGAAACTAAAAGAGTTGATAGCATTATGTGGGATAGAGGAGAAGGATAAGGAGATGGCAGAAAGAATGATTAAGATGGCTCTTTGGTGTGTTCAGTATAAATCTGATTTAAGACCCATGATGAGTGATGTGGTGAAAATGTTGGAGGGTTTGATAGATATTCCTGAATGCCCTTCAAACCCTTTTCAACACTTAATGGATGATTCAGTTGATTCAAGCTGGTCTCTTGAAGTAACAAAGTCTCAAATCGATGGTACAGCCCCTATCATGAGAAAGTATGAGATCGAAATAAACGCTTTAGATGGAAATACATCTTCCCTTTATTTGGATTCTTCCCATGGTTAAGAGTATATTAGTTGTTGAAAATCTTATTCTACAATAACTAATTTGATCATGTTGGATGCATAATATTTTAAAGTTGTTTTGCTGTTGAACTACAATAAAAATAAAAAGTTATACCGACTTTGTCATATAATCAAATAAATAGATGTAACTCTTTGAAAACTATTTATTTTATACAAAGCGAAATCCCGATAAATCATCTTTTATTGGAAGAATTAGGAATTTTCTTATGCGTAATTGGTAAGTTCCCATTAATAATGTTTTTATAATTAGTTCTCATTTTTCAACAATAATAAATAGTTGATGGAATCATTGATTCATATTGTAGTAATTGTTGGTGTTTTTATAATAGCTATCACATCCAGGTAAAGACTAATCACCATTATTGTCAGCTCAGGTAAAAGTTCAGACTTTTTTCCCAAAGAAAAAAAAAACCATTGTAGTCTCATTTTAAAAGGAAATGTGTTTGACTATGTTAATTTAAAAATAATTTTAGAGTTAAAAATCAAGTGATAATGGTGGTCACTAGTAATTAAAAATGGTCAATAATGATAGTTTTTAATAGTCAAGTGAAGTATGTTTGAAAACAGAAGAAAAGAAAAGAAAAATAGCCTTAAGATATTTTTATTTTTGAGTTGACTATAGATTGTAGGATGGAGGAAGATAAGGAGAGAATAGAAAGAATGGTTAGGATAGTTTTGTAGAAGGTGGAGAGAATAGAAGTCAATGAAGAAAAGGAAGTTGGAGGCGGGAGAAGGAGATGGAGACGATGAGGATTGAGTGTTATAGATGGGGTGGTGTGGCAGCAGTCGGTAATTCGAGCCAAATTCGATGGGCTAGCTTGAATCAGCTTGAAAAAAGTTAGGACCGAACTTGGTTATATAAACTTTTTTAAGAGAGTATGATACTTCAAGCCCGATCTAAATAAGTCAAGCCTGAATTGAGTTCGATTCGAATAAACCTGACCTTTATAATTTCTAGCTCTCTATATATATAGAGTTGGTAATTTTGGTCAAATTCGATAGGCTAGCCCAAACCCGACTAAAAAAGTTAAGGTTAGATTTGACCATATGAGCTTTTTTAAGAAGGTAAGATACTCTAAGTCTGATCTAAATAAGTCCGACTTACCTGAATTACTGGCTCTAGTAGGCAGGGAGAAAAAGAGAGAGAAAAGGAAAAGAAAGGGGAGAAGAAGAGGAAAGAAGAAGAAGAAGACATATATGAGGAGTCATGTTGGATTAAGAAAGGGGAGAAGGAGAAGACATATATGAGGGACTCCAATCCAATTGCGTACATAGTCATCAGCATATCATATAACATTAACAGTATTAACAGGTCAAGGGCTAACTGGCTTTAACATGTGAAAGTTTAAGGGCCTAATTTTAATAAATAAAACTATAGACACTTGATTACAAATTAAACCAAACTATAAGGATAGTAGATATGTTTTTTTTCCCCTAAGAAAAACTTATGCTTTTTTTTTCTAAGAAAAAATAAAAAGACTTATAAATAAATTTTGAAAGAATTACTTTAAGGTCCCACACACAATACAATTAAATATTATAAGATTCATTGACAATTAAGTAAAGAAAAATGATAATTAAATGTGTAGTTTTTTTTTTTTTTTAGATTGTCAATAGATCTTGTGGTATTTAAATATATTGTGTGGGATTTGTATGTAATTTTCCTAAAAATTTTCTCAATATTATATTATATTCATCTTTTAGTATAAGTAGACAATAGCTTCCCAGTATTTTCTTTTAGCGTGTGAGTTAAGTTTCCACCAAGGAGGATTTTTGTCTTTTTTACTTTTAATTTTAATTACCAATGATGAATAAGAATAATGTAATAAATTCAGACAAAAATTTATGTTAATAAATATAATAAGTAAAATGGGATAAAAATTCTACAATTATTAAATTACTAATTAAAGTTTGGATCAATATTAGTTAAAAAAATATTTATATTTCGAGCCGATGTCGGAAGGGGGGGACATTTGTGCTCATATTATTTGCTTTTTGACCTTCTTGTCCAACCCCCGATGTATATATTTTTGACATATTTATCAATACCATCAGTAGTCAAATTGGAAAATTGGGGTTTATTAATTTATTTTAAAATCTTTTTCTTTTAATAAAGCAATTAGATCTCGTGTGCGTGCGTGCGTGCGTGTGTGTAAAGGTTCATGAATCTTACACAGTTCAATCTTCAAACCTTGCAAAGATTTTCATCACGTTAGTGATTCAGTCTTCTTTTAGAGATAACCATGGTACTTCTCATGCTTTGATATGCACGAGGTTTGGGAAAAAATGGTTAAAAAAAAAAGATTGGAAAAAATTGGTATAAAAAATTATTGGAAAAAATTGTCTTAACGGTAACTGGAAAATTCAGTCGTTAGTTTTCTTCTTAGCTGAGAATTTTGGGATGGGGGGTTGACATCGGACGCGCATCATAATTCAATAATTCACAGTGAATCAGTGATGGGCACATGTAGATCTGGATCGTTTAAAATTTATCTGAACAGGTTAAATTTTAAATTTTTTATTTTTAAATCATAATTTTTGTCTGAAAATGTGTCAGTTAAAAAGTATTTTTATTTTATTTTTGATTAGAAAAATTATTTTTATTTGAGATCATAAAACTATTAAAATAAATATTAAAAACATAATAATAATAAAAAAATCTGCTCATCTTGTGCTCCCACGAATATAACAGAGAAGAAAATTCAGTTGCATGCGTTTAATTCGCCATGATCCTTTTTTTTTTTTCCTTGATCATTTAAAATCAAAATTAAGTACATATTTGATTTTCTACAATCAACTTGAGGCAATCATTCTTGTAAACAGGTGCGATGGGGTGAACAATACAGAACTCCTGAACCGCTGAACCCATATATCTGTATTTAATTTCCACATGTAATCCTTTTTTGTTCTAAAAAAATTCTAAATTTTTCTTTTAAAAATTTTTTGGTGGCGACTATATATGAAGAAAATTAGTTTTAATTATGAGCATAATTTGTTTTTCATGCATAATTTGTTTCAAGAGCTATAGTCTAAGCTAAAGATTAGATGATCGACATCGCAGTCGACAAAGCTGTCTTAATCTTATCTCTGTTGCCGGACTATTTCAAAGTTTGACTTATATTTGCCAAAGCAATAATAAATCAATGGCCAGACATTTCTTATCTGTATGTATCATCTTAACTATTCATTCATGTTTCAGTGCTCTATATATGATATTGTGATTTGCTTCTTGTTTTATTTCTTGACCGAGAAGACATTTTTCGGATTCAATCCAGAGTTCATCATGGGTACTCAATCCAGGTTTTAGCTTTGCCCTTAAACAAGTTTATGGACGAGCATAACATTTGTCTGTATGGTTTTTGAAACTAATTGGATTCTCATTTTGGTGAAGTTCTTCATATATGGGGGAGATTGAATCTGGATCTTTCACTCAGAAAGAGGAATCGGAGTTGATGATGAGTCAACCCAGATTTGTCATTCTGAGATTAATTTGCTTATGCGCAGGTAAGATTTATTAAGTTTTGCAAAGGTGAAATTAGAAGTTGGAAACTCCTCACTTTCCAACAATAAGAGATTATAGTTGACAGAATCATTGATTCGTGTTATAGTGATTGTTGGCGTTATTATAATAGCTACCACGTCTGGATCGACAATCGCTATCATCATCAGCTCAGGTAATTAAGAGTTAAGAGACTTCTTTGTTTCAAAAAAAAAATTAAAAGAATTATCATTACCGCCTGATTTTTTTATTAATAATATATTGAGGAAAGTTGTGTGGAATTTGAACAAAAAAATATTAAGGGTCAAAAGGAAAATTTGCTTTGGAAGTTTTTCCTCAAGTACAACTAATATTTTTAACTTTTAATTGGCGCAGCGTTACTCCAAAAATTTAAAAATGGTGTAATATCACAGTAACATTTGACTGATGTTAACTGTTAATTGAAAAATTCTAACCAGGATTAAAGATCAATTTTGCTTGAAAAAGTTTTGTTGTTGGAGCAATTAGTGTTTCAAACTTTGGGTTTGCACAATATTACATTCTTGGGTTATTAATGTTGAAATCAAAAGAAACATCCAGCAATTTGTTATTAATATTAAAAGAATGGTTCGTATTTCTAAATTTTGACAAAATATCTTGCCCAAGGTTACTTGGATGCAGAGTTTGAACCTTTTCTCATTTTGCTCATAAACAAGTCCTAAACAGGTGTCACAAGCAAGTCTTGGCTTGCATAAACTTAACCGTAACTGTTCATAAGCAAATATAGACTTTTTCAGATATGTCATGGGCAACATATAGATTTTAACTTAAAAGTATTTAACATAATTCAATCCAATTTTTTTAATTTTTTATTATAATAAGTTATTGGATCATTCTTGCGCCAATTGAAAATTAAGATATGAGTTAGACACTTACACTTGACAGAAAACTTTTAGAGAAAAATATAATTTCCCTTTAACCTAAAAAAATTCTAAAATGTAAAAATGAAGGGTAAAAAAAGAATAATATACTTTATTAATATAATTGTCATTAACCAAAAAAGAAGTTCTTGGCCGCTTCTTTAATTTTGTAAAACGAAAGATAATCGATCGAACATAGAAAAGAAGTTCTATTTTTTATTAGAACAAATTTTAATTTTTTTATAAAAAATGAAATACATTTTCAAAATTTTTTTTATTTTTCATCATTTAAAACAAAAAAAATTTAAAACATAAACTCAAACAAGCTATATGTTTTTATGTTTTATGTTTTTGGACAAAAAGACTTTGTCTTTTATGATGGCAAGTGTTCTGATTGAATTTTACCTATTGTAGTTGTGGGTTTTTTCATGATAAAGATTGCCCTGGTGATTCTTAAAACTCGCAAGGACGGAGAGCGCAGAGATACAGAAGCGGCCATAAGACCGAATAGTGCGAATGCAGAGTTTTTGGCTTGCACAGTGGATAAGTTCCTGAATGATATTGAAAAAGACGAGCCAGTCAGATTCACCACACATCAGCTCATGCTTGCAACCAACAACTATACTAACAAGCTGGGCTCAGGAGGATTCGGTGCCGTCTATAGAGGGGTCTTAGTAGATGGATCCATTGTTGCGGTGAAGGTCTTGCATGAGATTTCTGATCACCAGAGAATAGAGGACCAGTTCATGGCAGAAGTGGGCACAATTGGAAGGGTTCATCATTTGAATCTGGTTCGTCTTTTTGGATTTTGCTTTGAAAACAATATGAGGGCTCTAGTTTATGAATACATGAGTAATGGTTCTCTTGACAAGTATTTGTTTTGTGAAAACAATATCTTAGCGTTCCAAAAGCTTCATGAGATTGCAGTTAGGACTGCAAAAGGGATTGCTTACTTGCATGAAGAATGCCAGCAAAGAATCATCCACTACGACATAAAGCCGGAAAACATTCTTTTGGATCAAAACTTCTGTCCTAAGGTTGCTGACTTCAGTTTAGCCAAGATTTTCAACAGGGAAAAGTCTCACGTCACGATGACAGGATTGAGAGGGACGCCTGGTTATGCTGCACCAGACCTTTGGCTGCCATTTCCGGTAACGCACAGGTGCGACGTTTATAGTTTTGGAATGTTGTTATTTGAAATCATAGGTAGGAGAAGGAACCATGACATGAACCTTCCAGAAAGCCAAGAATGGTTTCCGAGAGAGGTTTGGACAAAATTTAATAGCGGAGAGTTAGAAGAGTTGACGACAGATTGTGGGATGGCAGATAAAGAGATAGTTGAAAGAATGTCAAAGGTGGCTCTTTGGTGTGTTCAGTATAGACCAGAATTGAGACCCATGATGAGTGTTGTGGCAAAAATGTTGGAAACTTTGATGGATATTCCAAACCCTTCTAACCCTTTTCGGCATCTCATGGATGAAGATCACTCTATTCATTCTTCCAATTGATGTAATATGAATCAATATTAGCATTAATTCACAATATTCTCTTGAAGCAACCAAGTCTTGTATTATTCATGATATGTCTATAATGATAAAGTATGAGATTGAAATAGATCTCAATTAACCAACAAACATGTAACTTAATTGGTAAGTGATTGTACTAATTTACTAATAATTTTAAGTCAGCTTTGTTGTTAATGTGGTCTTGCCCAGCTCGTCCCGTGAATCATGGGTAATTGTATCAAAAAAAGAAAAAAGAAAGGCCTCAATTAAATTTAATGAATAACATTTTCCCACAGTTAAGAGTATATAAGTTATCGAAAATATTATATTCTTCAGTGATTAATTTAATTATATATATATATATATATATATATTGGATGTTTTGTTTGTCTGATGATGTTTGCTGTTGAAGGTTTTGCGGTAAAGCAAACTCAAGCCCACGTTTCTATACAAAAAAAAATTGGGCTGCATATATGCTGTTAAAAACTGTTTTTTTTTTTAAATTAAATTTGTAATTTTATAGGTCCCAAAACAATCATTATATTTTTACTAAAGTTCTCATATTCGCGACTTATATTTTTTTCATTGTGAATCCTACACCTATTTTTTTATTGGAGGTGTCACACGATCTTATAATATAAAAATAAAAAAATATATTAAATTAGAAATTTGTCCTTAAAATGAAAACTATAAAAATTGAATTATATTTTAGAATACAGATTACTTGGATGAAATATTGAATTAAATTAGTGTGATGAATATAAAATTTTCAATCAATTAATATAATTTAGAGGATTTAGCCTTTATATATATATATATATATATATAATAGTGTCTTTAAATTATTATAACGAGGCTTTTTATTATGTAATGTGTGTCATAACTCAATTATCATACTGTTTAATACTTTTTTCTAAATTAAATTTGTAACTTTATTTTTAGTCTCAAAATTATGGATAAAGATTTAAAAAATGATAGAAAAAGACTACGAATTTTTTTTGGGTTAGATCATTTTCTATCATTTTTTGATTAATTAATGATCAAAATTAATTTTTGTTAACCACAGAGATCTCAAATCATACTCTTTTAAGATTTTTAAACTTATAATTTTGGAACTAATTTATTCATTTACCCATATAGAATCTTTTATCAATTCTTTACGGTAGAAATATAATTTAGAGAATTTTGTCTTTATATATGTGTATATATATATATATAATATAGTGTCTTATTAACTAGGCTTTTAAGTTCTATTAAGGGTCTTTAAATTATTATAACAAGACTTTTTATTATAGAATTTGTTCCATAACTCAATTATTATAAGATCACTCAATAAATTCATGATACATAGATTGTGATATAATGGGAAAAGATCATAGAAATACTAGAACGAATGACACGGTAGCACCTTAGCATGTAACGAGACTGACCAGATCCCAACATTTTTGTTTTTTTCAAACAGATCAATTTCATACACACATTCATTTTGATTTATTCGATTTACAATAAAAAAATTATTTTAACCAATAAAAAAATTGTAATTATTAAAAGAATTCTGTCCGTGAAGGAAGCTAATTTCCCAACTAACATTGACATTAGACAAAAATTTTCACGCGGTTGCTCACTCCGTGGCATGCTGTGACGTGGACATTTTTAGCTCCGCCCAACACTGCGTGTCTTTGAATTGTTATTTTGGCAAATTTAATTTTGATATTGCCAAAATAAAGTGTATATATATATATATATATATATATTTTACATGAGCTCGGGTGCCCTGAGTCCTTGACCCGACTAATCTGTTCAGCAATGGAGAACACCTCTTTGAGAGGCATGTGTCCCACCAAAAATTTAATTACTGCTAAATATTTAGATTAGGACTTAAACTTGAGACTTCTGAATATTTAGAAGCTTTTAATGAAAACAATGTTAAACATGTAATATTAAGGAGTGTATGAGTTTTATAATATGTTACTACAAGTTTAATTAAATTATATGTGATTCTAAAACAAATTTATTTAATTTATGCATCCCCATAAAATAATTTTAACTAATTTATGAGTTAAATTTTTATATCTTTTCACTTCTGCTTTCAATTAGTGCTAAACGTTTTTCTAACTTCACTCCAATGCGAACCCAATCCTTTTTTTTTCATTGATTAGGGCTATTTTAAAAATATTATTATTATTATTATTATTACTACTACTACTACTATTATTATTATGCATAAAATATGTCATTTGTCTTATATAGAAGAACACTATACCTTTCAAAATTATGTCTTATAATTAGGAATGAGAGGAAATATTTAATTTGATGCATTTATTATATATATATATATATAAATTAAAGATTGTGTATTTGTTTTTAATTTTTAATATCAATTAATATAAATAAATTATGATTAAAAAATAATAATGATTGGTTATCTTTAAAGCTGTCATCAAGGTTGGCCTATTCAAACCCTATTTCTGCCCTATATATATGTATTTGTTTTTATGTTTAGGCTTGAAAAGTGCTACATTTTTTTATACAAGAGTTCTAGGCCTAATCTTTATAAGCTTTTGAAAAATTAGGTTAGGGTTCAAGCTAGCCCTTTTGGATCTAGTATTTTTCAATCTCCTTGTTGTTTTCAATAAACATTTAGTTGAAATTGTTGAAAATTGTTTAGTTGAAATTATTAATATTAAAAAAATAACATGTTTGAAATTATTTGGTTTATTTTAATTATTGAATTAATAAATGAACATGACATAATTAGTTAAAATATGTGCTACCATAATTAAAAGTTAAAATAAAAGTTGTTTACTTTTGGATTTGTATTATAGTCATGTTTTAGAACTTATTATAGTCTCTTATACATTTAATTTAAGTCTTTTGCAATTTATATACTCTTTTTATTTAAAAATATAAGATATTTTTTTAGGGGTTGGATGTTAAAAATGTAAAGTATTTTTAGTATTTTAAGGTATAATCATTACCTTTTTCCCATAAGTGTCCTTAATGAATAGATCACTTTATATTTATTTTAGAGTAAAACATCATATTAAATACAAGTAAATATGAAAAGATGATATTAATTTAACGACAAATAACTACTTTATTAGAGGTGGGATTAAGTTAAAAATGCCTTATATCTTTTAAAGGAAGAGTATATTTTAATATAATTAAAATTTTAATTTTTAAAAATAAAAAAATTATGAAATAGAAACAGAATGTTTAAAAAGAATGGTTAAGATAGCTTTTTAGTGTGTTTAGTATAAACTTGAGCTGAGGCTTATGATGAGTGTTGTGGTGAAAATGTTGGAGGCCTGTTAAGTGGAAATCTCATAACCTGTGAATCCTTTTCAAAAGTTGATGGATGCAAGTTATCATGCTGATGCTCAATCAATCCAGACAACAAAAACTGATACTAGTATTGCTCCTGGATCTTCTATAATATCATCTAAACCTAGCATTTTGGATGCTACTTCAATCATGAGCAAGTATGAGATCCAAATAGCCTCTAGCTGAGTTAAGAGTACAAGTTTTTTGGAATATCTTATTTCTCTAGTGATTTGATATTATGTTGGATCTACTCTGTTCCTAAATGTAGTAGCAAATTTGTTTTCCCCCTTTGAATTTTTCAAAGCACGAGGAAACTTGATGAATTCGATATATATTATGAAACGGAAAGCAGATTTAGACACACACGAGAGAGAGAGAGAGAGAGAGAGAGACCTTTGATTCAAACAGTATTGTTGAAAAACATGCTTCTTTGCAGGTTGTGTGTTTAAACTCAAGTTTCAAATATTCAAACATTCAGCAACAAAGGACTTAGACTATAGATTATGTCACAGGTTTTCAAAGCCTTGAGTGATTTTTTTTAATACATGACAAAGAGTTACTATGTCTTCAAGAAGCCTTGCATGGTGAATATAAGCTATATTTGAGTATATATAAGAGTAATATAACTAATTATAGCTAAGGCTATATATATACATATATAAGCTAAAGGAGTTAAACATAGGATAAGAAGATATAATCAGTAAGAGGACATTTCTTCTTGAAGGTTTTGGCAAGCGCATTATTTCAACAAGAATCTGCAAAAGTCTTCCAAAGGCTGATCAACAGAACTTGAAAAGACTCACAGTAATGACAGTGATCGTGAAAAAAGCAAGTAACATTTTCACCTAAATCCAAAAAATATTTGAAGATAATATCGGAAACAGGACATGCCCAAAAGTTGAAGAACGAACATTCATATCTATTTAGAAACCGTGATTTGTCTCATATGGGATCCATATCCTAATATTCTCAAACTAAATTCTCGCATATCCAAAAGAAAACGCGTTTAAGTGGGCTTATCGAAGTCCAAGGGAAAAAGCCTCCAAGTCAGTCTCAATCAAAAAAAGGGTCCAAAGACAATAAAGAGGCATGGGGAAAACAAACAATCAGGATATAGTTGCCGGCCGATTATTGTCTGCATCAGTCTATAATACTCCACATTTTGTATCGATAGTTCAATAGTTTTGGTTCCTCACTTCACTTTATTTCTTAATATTATTATTATTCTTGAATTCTTACATCTTAGTTCACAAATATGGCTTCTGTTTTTGGAGTAGTAATTTCTATTGTCGGCTTCATAGGTAAGACTACGAGCTATGATTTGCCTCTTTGTTCTGTGTTTTTCTTTTCCATATTTTCTTGTCTATGTTGGCTTTCTATTTGATTTCTCGCATGACATCTAACTGGGGTATATAATTCTTGCCCCATTGCAGTTATTCTTACTTTGATTTATTGGAGATTAACAAGAAATTGTTACCCTCGTAGCTCCCAGCTTATTGCAGACACAGAATTTCTGACATACACATTGAACAAGTTTTTGCTTGAAATGGAGAGGGAGAAACCAATCAGGTTCAGCTCACAACATCTCATGCTTGCAACTAACAACTACTCCAACATGTTGGGGTCTGATGGTTTCGGATCAGTCTATAAAGGGACTTTTAGTGATGGAACCATTGTGGCTGTGAAGGTTCTGAATTGGAGCTCTAACAAGAGAATAGAAGAGCAGTTCATGGCAGAAGTGGGTACTATTGGACGAGTTCATCATTTCAATCTTCTTCGCCTCTATGGATTTTGCATTGAAAGGAGCATGAGAGCACTTATTTATGAGTACATGGGCAATGGCTCACTTAACAAGTAT